TCTTGAGAAGCCACAAGGGGGGGGGGGCAGCGAATATATTTTGCATATACCTACATTATACTTACAATTTGCATTCATATCAAATTTTTTTTTTTCTATTGTTTGGTACATGAGATGTAATTATAAATTATATAAATTATAAACTTTATACTACAACGGCATAACATAAAGATATAGGTATCAATAAAAAAATTAAAACAAAAATTATTTTTTATTCAAACTTAATTAACAGTCAAACTTATTCTTATGATAAATAGTATTATTGTGTACATCCAAAGCTCCATCTTTACCTAGCAATTTGGCATATTTTTTTAGGGGCTCAGTTACTAAGGTTTTTAAGGGTTGTGTCTTATGCATACCACCAAGACTTGAAGTCAGAAACAATACACAAGTTTTACAAAACAAACCATGTTTAATATTTGAATATTCTAACCACGAGTATTTCTCAAAATGATTGACACGCAAATACCGTTTTTCAGCTTTCCCTTTTTTCATGTGGGTTGAAAAAGGAAAAATAAAATTTGATGCAGGGATGTTACTTCTTTTAACTATTAATGATTTAGTAAAATCATCTGCAGTTTCATTTATAAAATTTCCTATATCCGTACTATCAACTAAACTAACTTGATTGCTTGATGACAGTTCTTCAATTGAAGACGTGGACGTTGGAATTTGTGTATCAGGCATTTGTGTCTGCATTTCAATCATAGTTTTTTTTGCGTTACCATCAGTGTTACTCGTTCTACATTTTTTTGCTGAATTTGTTTCAAAATAAGACGTTATTTTATGTTTCGACATTTTTACAAAAAAACTGATGTTAAAACTTCAAAAACAATATTATAAAAACGTGAACGTTGTGAACTCAAAAACTGTTATTAACCTAATCTAATAATGATTAATGATAAACGACAAAACCATATTCGTGTTTTCGCAAAGCCGCAAAGGTAACGAGAGCAAAGTTAACGGTCTGTTGACTGTTTACTGATACCTCCTGATACGGCATATCACCATTGTTCTGTGATATCACGGTACATGCGAGTAAACCAATAAAGAACGAGCGCCCTCTATACTTCAATAGGAGTAAACATTTTTGTAAACAGTAAACATTTTGACAAAAATTAAAAAATAAAAATATCGCCAAAACGATTTTTAGTAAACTGTTTGCTCATTTATATTTTTAGTTTTTACTCGGCCCAAGGGGGGGGGCAGTCCACCTATCGCCCCCCCCCGTAAAACCGCCACTGAATACGATCGACGTTTCACACGTACGACTATACAGTACCTACGTCCTCGTCGATTCACTCAGCGACAACGGGACTCCCGTGCCTGGCGGTTTTATATAGTAAAATCTTATTGCTGCCTCATCACATATTGTTTCACTGACCTATGTCAATAGTTTACAATTTAAAATGTTCCCACCTCTATTACATATACATATATTAAATAATAATATCTTGACGACTGTCTACAATATACGACAATACTATTGATGTCTAAGAATAAGCAATGATTTCCAAGGGGGTTTGATATAGGCAATCTTAATGCAATATTAAAAAATTGAAATTATAATATAATTATTTTATGTTACCAATATTAAAAAAAAAATGTATATGATTTAATACGTTGTACTTTTTATTGTTGCTTAATTCCTTTATTTTATCAGATATATAAACTTATATCATATAATTTATAATATGCTTTGAATTTCCTCAATATTCGCAAATACCAATTTTTTCATTGAGGAAAAAATCTTTTATTTAGTGTATTGCACAGGGTCATAATAATATATCCTATACATCATGGTTGGAATGTGTGCTTTATAAGTTTTTCAAAATTTCAAAATGTAAATATAAACTTTAAAAATATTGTTTAATATAATTATGAGTGTATTAGTAATTATTATGTTCCGATATGTATTTCGATGCACAAATTACTTCTCTACAACCATTAAACGGATTAACATTTATCGAATGAATATGTTTTTAGCTAGAAATTCACTACTGTGTAGCCCCATTAGCACAACTCATTAATACGAAGGTACAGTCTATTATTTAGACACATTCACACAACAATTATAGTATTTAGTAATTACAATAGAATATACGTTCAATCGAATTACTCATACTTCAAATTTTCATAAACAAAATAATTGGAACCCACCTACGTAAGATAAGCGCATTGGTATTTGATTGTATAGTTTACAGCGTTTCTCAAAGTGTGGGTCGTCAGTCAATTTTTGGTGGGTCGCGAACATTTTTTTGAATTATATAGATTCCAAGACATGTATGTTAATTAATATAAAATATATTATTTATTATTTTATTATACTTATATTACTATAGTAATATAGTACCAAAAATTACGTGGGTAATAATGATTACTAATAATTCGTCTTATATTTATTCGACAACGACGACTATCAGTCGTTGTTGGTTCAATATTAGTCACTAAGTTGTGCTTGCGCTGGCTGGTTGTTATTTTATTTACCGTTTGTGCAATTTTATAATACGGGTGTTTTGTGTGTTCGTTTTGGTGCTATTTCTGCAACAAATTATCAACAAAAATTTGATAATGGATAAGTGAACATTTGAAACCACTGAAGATGAACCTACAACTTCGAATTTAAATATAAAACGAAAAAAAGTGACGAGAAATTATGATTCAGAATACCTGAAAATTGGTTTTTCTTGGATGCGTCCTAATAAATTACGTCGACATATTGAGACCAAGCATCCTGATCTAATAAAGATCAGCCACTCTCTTATTTTGAAACAAAGCTGAAAGAACTAAAAACGTCCAAAACAAAAATTAAGCAGTTTACCAAGGTCAATGAAAACCAGTGGCGAAAACACCGGGTGGGCGCAAACGCCACGGGCCTCGGGACCGAAGGGGGCCCCAGTCCAACATACAATATACCTACACAATTGCCCATTGGTTATTTCTATATTCGTCATTCGATTCAAAATTTCACAAAAATATGTATATTATTTTGATATCTGAAAAAAATACTAGGAAATACGGACCTTATATTGGTACTATATGTAGGTGTTGTAGGTATATGGTTTATACGCTAAAAAATAATAATATATTATTGGAGGCCCGATTTGGGAAAAAAATATTATCTACAACGTATCTCATATCTGGAACTAATGGCTTAATAACTCAATGGCTAAAAATAGAATGGGAAAACAAAGTGATAAAGCCAACAACAACAAAATAGGTACTGTTATATCATAGCTTCAGCTCCGTTGCTCTATGTGCTACAAATTACAATGACAGTATTACACTGATCAGTATAGTGTACACACTTACCAATATTAAAATTTCCTTGAAGCTTTGAAAGTGTTTTGTTTTTTATGTTTAACTGTTTAAGTTATAACATGATTCGTATTTTTATTATTATTAAGTATTAAATTATTATTATTTTCTTTTTAATACATGTAGTAGTGACAGACTAATTTCACAAGACAGACTTACGAACATTGCAATTCTCAATATTTAAAGAGAAAAAACCTCAGAACTTGAAATTGATAAAATTATAAACGACTTCGCAAATTTAAAGTCATGAAAAAAAAATTTTCTAAAGTAGTTTCAATGTTTTTATTAATTGCAATGTTCGTAAGTCGGTCTTGTGAAATTGAGTTTGTATTGTTTCTAAGATAATTTTTTATGAGCAAAAGTATTTCAAATAAAATAAAATAAAATTATGTTAGTTATATAATATTATGCATTATTAGATATTTGTATATTACCTAGTACCTACTATTTAATAAGTACCTAATTAAAAAGTGTTTCTAGTGATAAATGTAAAATGATTTTATTTTGTGGTGATCATTACAACATGAGTAATATATTTTGTTTTTTTAAATTAATGTTATTCTTTAAACGTATCATACTTTTATAGTATTTAAATGATTAAATGTACCTACATTTATAAATTTTATATATATACCTACATTTTAAAAATACCTACCTAAAAAAATTTACAAGATGTGATTAATTTATAAATGTTTATAAATGTTGCTAGGTTGCTTACAAGTAAGTAATGGGTAAACAATAAATATAACCTAATCATTAATAAGGATAAATCATATTTTATCACTGCTTATTTTTATTTTTTTGGAGGGCCCATTTTAGTCTTTGCACACGGGCCTCCTCTGGCCTATTTACGCCACTGATGAAAACGCTATGCACGCTTCGTACTTGATAATTTACATGTGTGAAGTTGGATTTTCGGCAATGGTAGGTAGGCATCAAAAACAAATATCGAAACAAACTAGTTATCGAACTCCTTACGTTTGAAATTAACTAAAATTTACGTCGATGTCAATGCTGTTATTAACCATAATAGAAATCAAGCACACATTTCGCATACACCTCATTATTAAAAGTACATTTGTAAAAATATATTTATTACAAACCTATAAAATACTAAAAACCTAATAAAAATGGCCGTACATCATTTGCGCATCGTCTGTTTACCTGCACCAAATTATCGTACATCATATTATGCGCATCAAAATTCTGAAAAACAGAAAGGTATAATAATAATTGTACACACATATAATATTATAAATGAATAATAATTTAATATACATAGGCACAAGTTTTTGTTCTGTTGCATCTCATAAGGAGTGTAGGTGAAAATATGTGTACTGAACTCAAGTGCTAAAAGCATACTGATTTTATTGTGTCTAAAATACCGATAGCGATACACGCGATAATACATCATAATTACGTAACCGTTATTGTAGATAGCAGGTAGGTAGGTATCATAGCTATTAGCTATGTAACATCTCCCTTTTTATATATAAACAAAACAGATTACCTATAGATTAAGTTTACAAAAGTGAAATAATACATAATACAAATTATAAATTAAGCTTACAAATGTGAAATAATACATAATACAAATTATAAATTAAGCTTACAAATGTGAAATAATACATAATACAAATTATAAATTAAGCTTACAAATGTGAAATAATACATAATACAAATTATAAATTAAGCTTAGTTGGAGGTACAACACGTCGCTTACGTATCCAACTAGGCTTCGAAACAATATTATTATCTTTGTACAAATTATACCTGAGCTGTTTACCGGCAGGCCTTAAATGTACAATATTTCTTCGTTTATTATTACCTGTGTCATCACTAAAAACATATGATCTGGGCGTATTGTATTTATTGATGATTTTACCTGGCTTCCAAGTTTTAGTTAATAAATCTCTAAACATAATTTTTTGGCCCGGTTGAAACTTATTATTATTTTTAACTTTGGCATTTTTATCATAATATAGTTTTGTTTTCACATTTTTATTTTCACGTATTAATTTAAAATTATTTACTAACGTAGGCTGTAGAGCATTGTTTAAGATTGGAATTTTCGATCTTAAAGTGCGACTCATTAAAAGTTGTGCTGGGGAAAACTTAGAGCCAATGATAGCACTGTTTCGATATTCTAACAACATTAATTGTTTATCAACTTTACCTTCATCCGATCTTTTAAGTATTGATTTCGCAATACTTACACCTTTCTCCGCAAGTCCGTTAGATTTTGGGTATCTAGGGCTTGCCGTAGTTATAACAAATTCCCAATCAGTCGCAAAATTCTGAAATTCATTAGAATTAAATGGCATATTATCTGCCACGAGTTGCTTTGGAATCCCATGTATCGAAAAAATAACTTTTAGTATTTTAATTATATGACTTGAAGTTTTAGAAGATAAATAATTTAACTCAAGCCAACCAGAATAGTAATCAACTAATACTAGGTAAGTATCTTTCCCATAATCCAAAATATCACACGCAACTTTCTCAAAAGGTAGATTAGGAACTTCTTGACAAATCATAGGGTCTTTAATATTCTCACTCCTAAACTTATTACATACTGCACAATTACCAATATATTCCTCGATATCTTTATCTAAACCTTTCCAATAAAATAAGGAACGTGCTCTCGTTTTAGTCTTACAAATTCCAAGATGAGTTTCGTGTAGTTTAAATACAATTTTATTCTGTAACTTCATAGGGACAAACACACGATTATTAAGAAAAAGTAAATCGTCTTCAAATGATATTTGGTAACGCATATTAAAGTATGGTTTAAGCTCACGTGAGACTTTATTGTTATGCTTAGGCCAGCCATTCTTGCACACATATACTAATTGTTTTAATAAATCATCTTTAATTGTTTCTTGTACAAACTCATTTCGAATATTTGTAGACATATTAATTGAATGAACTACATCGGAAACATCGATATCAACGTCGTCGTTATCTCGAGACGATATACACGCACGACTTAATGCATCTGCGATAAACATTTTTTTTCCCGGTACATGTATAAGATTAATATCATATCGTGATAATTTGACCTTAATGCATTGAAGCCTTTTAGACGGAATGTCATTTATGTTCTTTTTCATTAGCGAAATTAAAGGAAGGTGATCGGTTTGAACTGTCACGTGCCTACCATAAATATAATGATGAAATACCTTACAGGCAAATAAGACTGACAGAAATTCCTTATCAACCTGTCCGTAGTTAATTTCGGTTTCAGATAAGCTTTTCGATTTAAAACAAACTGGTCTGCCTTCTTGTAACAAAACACATCCAATGGCAAACTTACTACTATCAGTCTGTATGATCACGTCTTTTGTGTTATCATAGTTTCTAAGTACGGAGGGACTAGCAATTAATGTTTTAAGTTTATTTACAGACTCATTATGTATTGATGTCCATACAAACTCATTATTTTTTTTAAGAAGATCTCTTAGTGGCTTAGTCAACATTGCCAGGTTAGGAATAAAATTTCCGACATAATTAACCATACCTAAAAACCTTTGCAAATCTTTTATAGTTTTTGGTACTTCGTACTCGAAAATAGATTTAATACGATCACTATCTGGTTTCATGCCTTCATATGAAAATGTATGGCCAAGGTAATTAACTTTATCTACCTTATATTGAATTTTGTTTTTATTAAATTTAATATTATTTTTCATAGCCAAATCTAAAACCTGTTTTAATGCACAATCATGTTGAGCCTCAGTGTCACCAAAAACTAAAATATCATCAAGATATATGAACACATTTTCAATACCTCCGAACACTTTCATATTCCATTTTTGACATATTTCAGCTGCATTATTTATTCCAAAGGGAAGTCTATTGAAACAAAAAGTACCAAACATAGTACCAAACGTGCATAATTTAGAACTTTCTAAATCTAATTTTATTTGCCAAAAACCATCTTTCAAATCAAAAACAGAAAAAACCCTTGCATTTTTCAGTTTTGACGATAAATCTGATAACGTAGGTATTACACAATATTCACGAATTATATTTTCATTTAGATCGCGTGGATCTAGACATAATCTCATACTTCCATTTTTCTTTTCAACAATCACTAATCTGTTTACCCACTCGGTCGGCTCATTTATTTCTCTAATTATTTTTTCTGAGACTAATCGATCTAGTTCACATTTCAGCTTATCTTGGATATTAATAGGAACTCTATGTGGGACATTTGTAACAGGTATTGCATTGGGCTTTAATTGTATGCTATATTCGTCAGGAAAGTTACCAAGACCTGTAAAAACCGTGCAATAGTTCTGAAGTACATCATTAAGACTTAATATCTTATCAACATTTTCTACTTTATTTATTAGCCCTAACTGTATACAGCTATGTAGACCTAAAATCGGCTTGCAATGATTTTCAACAATTACAAAATTTAAAATATATTCTTTTTCTCTTAATTTTACTTTTAAATCAACTGTAAAGTATGTATTAATATTACTACCGCCATATGCCTGTAAATTTATCGGTCGTCTGTTAACTACTAAATTTTTAAAAGAACAATTATTTTTAATTAAGTTAAAATCATTTAAAGTCAGTAGATTAACATCAGAGCCAGTATCTAGCTTAAAATTAATACTTTTATTTTCAACGAGAATAGTCTCAGACCAGGAAACAGCAAAAGTATTCATTGTATATACCGTAGAACAAAAATAATTATCAATACTCAGCCCATCAACGTTTTCAACAAATGCAATCTCAGATTTACAAACATTTTGAAAATGATTAAATTTGTTACATTTTAAACATTTTTTACCATACGCAGGGCATTTGCCTTTACCGTGCATAAAATTACAATATTTGCATAATTTATCAGACCGATTACAATTATTATTCGTTTTTTTATTATTTACAGAAAAGTTACCTTTATTTTTGACAACCTGTTGTGACTCCTCCTGTTGGTTATATCCTTTTGCCTGTCGTTGATTTGTTTGACATTGACCACGGTGTCCATTGTTACCGTTGTTCTGAGTGTAGTGATGTTGAGCTTGATTTGTTCGCTTACCACCACGTACTTTTGAATGAACTGCATTTACTTCATTCTGTTTTTCACCAATCTCCTTCATTTGATTGAGTTCTCTTCGTTGGATTTCAGCAATACGAAGGGTATCTATTGCAGTTTCAAGAGTAACATCAGCTTGTTTAATTAACTTGTCGCGAGTTTCACCATCTCTCGTGTCAAGAACAATTTTGTCACGTAAAATTTCTTCATGAGATTTAAATTCACAATCTTTGATCAAACCACGACACGCTGACAGAAACTCCTCAATCGATTCATTTTCTTTTTGAGACCGTTTATAAAATATATACCTGGAGTGTAAAATATTTTTTTTTGGTTTGCAATAATCTTGAAACGCGTTAAGCACTTGCTCAATTTTCTTATTGTCTTCGGCGTTTTCAAATTTGAGGGTGTTATACCTCTCTAGGCCCTCTTTGCCAACAAGGTTAAGAAAAATGGCCACCTGACGTTTATTAGACGCTGACGTTAGACCAGCCGCCTCAATGTAAATCTCGAACGCTTCACGAAAAACGCGCCAATTTTCTGCCAAATTACCCGTCAAAACCAACGCATCTGGCTTATTATACTCCATGGTTCAACAAAAATTCAAAATTCAAATACACAATACACAATTTTTAAAATCCTATTAGACTGCGCCATGTTGCATCTCATAAGGAGTGTAGGTGAAAATATGTGTACTGAACTCAAGTGCTAAAAGCATACTGATTTTATTGTGTCTAAAATACCGATAGCGATACACGCGATAATACATCATAATTACGTAACCGTTATTGTAGATAGCAGGTAGGTAGGTATCATAGCTATTAGCTATGTAACAGTTCAATAAGCATTTAAAGTTCAAATGTTGACAAAATTTATCAAAAGCTCAAAAATGTTGCAAATTATTTTGTAGTAAAAAATTTAATACTCAGTTCAATTGGGCACATTACATGGTCATAGTTATAGTAAAAAATATACATATAACATATAGGTAGTTTGAGTAAAAATGAATTCAACTAAATTGTGTTCAGTTCATTTACTATTGAATTTTATGATTAAAGTTAGAAAACAACGCGCTTTTGGGTATACACCTTTTTTTCAGTTCTATTATTAAATAATATTGATGCGCAAATGATGTACAACCTTTTAAACGATCGATGCATAACCCAAAAAGGTGGGCAAGTGGGTGTCGCTCTGCTGTACAGTAGGTTACAAGTGGGTCACTGTATAATGGATGATATTAAATTTGAATTCAATGATATAATATCATTGTATAAGAAAAACGATTCTGAGCGGAGACGGTATGTCAGTCTATGTAGGTATAAGACATATTATATACATATCTATAAACAAAAAATTGACCTATAATAGGTACCTATAATAAATTCCAAATTAATCATATCACAATACCCATTAGGTACTGGTAACGCGTTATACATCAACAAAAACCGTGAAACTATCATAGATATATAATAGTACACTTTAGAAGTTTCAAGTACCCACGAATAATATTATTCAATCACAACAAAACAACTAAAATAGTTATTCTAGGTTTTTTAATATGTAATTTCATCCATATTTGAAATTAAAATGTCTGTAAAAAATAAGTGTGTTTATATATTTTTTAGATTTTTTGGTTCCAGTATGAATTATTTAAGAGAATCTTTGTTTTAAATTTTCAACTCTTATTATTATAACCATAGAAGTAATTAAGTATATATTTTCATTATTTCTTTTACTTTTCTGTTAGTTAAACAAAGTATATTTAGGTATTATTTATTGTGTATTTTTGGATAAATTATTCTGATAATTATAAATGTTGTTACTAATTTCATGTATAAATTGAGTTTAGGTTGTATATCTACACGTTATTACAATTTACAATATTGATGATTGTTGTTGTTATATTTTTGCTTTAAAAGTTTTCCTATAAATATATTAATTTATTACAAAAAAAATAATCTGTATTTATCAAGGCTTTAATATAAGGAATCCATAAAAAAAATTAATTCAATGTTTCGAAATCCGGATTTCGGGTAAAATCCGAATTTGAAATTTCAAAATCCGGATTTTTATCCGAATCCGGATAACGGATTTCGAATTTCATGAATCCGGATTTTCGAACGGGTGTTGACCAGTTGCCCCCCACGGCTGTTATCGGGAGTTTAAAAATATACCAGTTGCCCTCAACTAAATGTACCAGTTACCCCCAACCGAATGTACCAGTTACCCTTAGATAGTTACATATTAATATATACACGATTACGATATATAGCCCATAAAATAGGGAAGGTAAATATTCAAATAATAAATAAAATTATTTAAAATAGTATAAAATGTTAGTATGATGAAAAATTTCATAATAAATAATATAATTATAATGAAAAGCGGCATATTCAATGTGTTATTTTGTCAAAAAAAAAAATAGTAAATAAATTAGATATAATATTATGTATTATGTTTTGTTATAATAATAAATTACTATTTATAGTTATTATTTGTATATTTACCTCCCCTATTTTACGGGCTATTTATTTGGGTGTAACACGATTGCGCCCGGCTTACCTATTTCCATTCAAAAAACGCAACACGATTGCGCTCTTAATAATTTTCCTTCCCAATTTTACAGGCTTAGGACTGACAACAAAATTAAATTGTTGGCTTGGTTAAAAATTTTGGGTTACAATTTTTTTTTTTTTTTCATAATAATACTCTAATAGTAGCTCTATCATAGATATTTCTTTTTAATTAAAAATGTCTAATTAAATATTTTTTTATCGGTTGTACATATGGGGAAATCAAGTCCAAGGAAAACCAAGTCCGACTGTATTTTTAAATAGTTTACTAGAAAATTGTTATATAACATATACATATACGGGACAAACATATATATATACATTAAAGCGCAATCGTGTTGCGTTTTATGCAGGTAAAAAAGGTTATAGACTGGCGCGATAGTGCTAATTGGTCGAGCGCAATCGTATTGCGTTTTTTGAATGGAAAAAGGTAAGCTGGGCGCAATCGTGGTTCACCGATTTATTTTAATCGTATATATATTTACATATGAGGGCAACTGGTACAATTTTTTGAGGGCAACTGGTACATTTTCCTCTAGGTAGTTTGGGGGGAATTGGTAAAAAAAAGGTACTTTTGGGGGCAACTGGTACATGCCCTTTCGAACTTCGGTAAATCCGGATTTTTCCCAACACTAATAAGAAATAGGTACCTAGTTGAATATTGTTATAAGTTTGCTGGCTTAGCTACCCAGTAATAGTTTAATAATATTCAAACGCGTTACTGCCGTTACTCGTAAAAAAAAAGATCGCGGCGAACCTAGGCGCGTAATAATTTACGTAAAATGCATGCGTTGTATAGCAACGAGCGTGTGTTAGTAGGTAGGTACACAGTTCAAGCGCGTACGCATGAAACATCGCGGAACTGGGCAAGCGGAACGGGTGAGGGGATAAACCTTAACGAAATTTAACAAGCGCAGCATAGGCGATTGAACGTTTTACGTGTTATTAGATAGGTACTCATCCATTTACGACTCACGACACGCGTTTACGCAATTTATTTTTTGGTGGATCAAGGACGCTATTGTCTATTAATTCATACAAAATGAATACCTCAATAGGTGGGGACTTTTGCATATAAAATAGGTACCTACTCTATGTACGAAAATATGTAGGTACCTACATACAATATATAATATATAATACTATAATAATTATAATATTATAGTTTAATTTGTAAAATTATTTGTTGTAGAAATGGTGAAATACATACATTTCCTTAGTATCTTCTAAGACGTACCATCGAATATGAATTACATACATTTTTTTTTTTTAATATAGAATTTTTTAAATTTTGTATCAAAATTTAATAATTTCCAAAAAAATTACCTTAACATAATTTAGCACGTTCTGAAACTAATTTTGTTTTTTTGTTGGGAATAAACTGATGTTATACAAAATAATCATGTAAATTTCATTCTAAATATCTATTTACAAAAAATTAATAGTGCAATTCATGTGTGGTTAAAGTAAGAGAACATACAAAGAACGTCCCTACACATATTTATACCAAACCAAACACAATCACATAAATACATCAAAAATTAAATAGATCAGTAATTAAAATAATTAAGTAGGTAGTTAAAATAATATGTGTTAGGTATTAATTAATTGATATTATAGAATATTAATGTTAGAATCTCACTCTCCCGCTTTTATACGACATTTTTCTTAAATTTTACTTACATTGTACTCTTAAAAAACTTTTATTTGAATGATCAAATGCATTATATACATTTTTTAATTACTGTAAAAAAAACGCCCTACAAAATGTGTTTGTATAAGTCTATAACTACAGTAGGTATACGTACTACTTAAATATAGAAATTTTTAACTTCAAATTATAATAGTTATTCGTCTTAAAATGATTAATAACTACCTACCTGATAAATATATTTTTTCGATACAACATTGACTTGCGTAAAGTTGGCACCCTAAAATGTTCGTATCGTCTTCAAAGTACATAATATTGTCTATATTTTCTTTCCAAATCAAGTGCAACCATTTGTAACATGAAAACAATTTTTTTTACTTTTTTTTATTCTTAACACTTGTGCACGAGTCTGCAAATACCGTTTGAGCATTTTTTTTAGACAAAGTTCAAATTTGTACAACTGTAATTTAAAATTTACTAGTGGGTAACTTTTCAACATTACGCTTATAATTATTCAAGAAGCATATTCCAAAAAAGTTTATAACTAGGTAAAATATAAAAAAAGTAACTCACTAGGATAAAATAAAAATAAAAAATATCTATTAAAATCTTTCAACCATGTAATCGATATACCTATTTGAATATTATATATTGACATGTGTGTGCAAGTGCGTGCGAGAGCTCTCCGCACCGCTACAATTGACCCCCATGGACGCCAAACACACTAATAATTAGGGCTGGGATTTTGATACAAAGGCATCTTTTTTTCTGATGTTTTCAAACGTTGATCCGTAAGTATAAAATGTGTTTTGGGTGATACTGATTATTTTAAAGTATTTTTTATCATGTATTTTTTGCATTTTTTGACGAAATTAACCTTAAAATGCATTTTTAGGACATTTTTTTGAAGTTATACTTCTTTACGCACGGTAGTGAGGAAAAAAAAAGCGAACGGGCGGCCGTACGAACGCGAAAGCGTACATGTCCGTAAATAAATAAATATTGTCATGGTAATGTTGTTTTATTATATATTATAATATATATATGTATATATAAAACAGTAAGCTGATTGACTGCTATCAACGCACAGCTCAAACCATTGGACGGATCTGGCTGAAATTTGGCATACAGATAGCTATTATGATGTAGACGTGCGCTAAGAAAGGATTTTTCGAAATTCGCATTTTAAATAGGTGCTCAAACAGGGACATTGAGATTCAAGATAGAAATTGGAAATTTTATTTTTATTTATTAATAGTTATCATTGGTTACAGTCTACATTAGAAATTAGCATTTATTTATTGGTTGCCATTGGTTATTCGGGCAGATCAGGTACAAGCTTGCATCAAATCAAATTATTGAACA